AACTCATTTAATGTCCACAGAAATCTATGAAGTAGATGCTATTTTTCTCTCTAGAAGGAAATCAAGGCATACGGAAGTTAAATAACTTATACAAGTTCCACAGCTAATAAAAATCAGATGAAATTGAACCAAGGCAGTCTGGCTTTGGAAGTTCTACATGTAACCACTTGCCGTATTACCTATCTTATGAAATGACATACTTTTCAAGTATTGAGTATTTTAATTAATTAATTAATTTATTTATTTATTGGCCTTTTTTGAAACCAGGTCTTGCTAGGCAGTCCAGGCTGGCCTTGAGCTCACTTTGAGTATTTCCTTTAAAAAGTAATGTGAAGATTGATAGTGAAGATATAATCTAAATTCTCTGCCCATTCTAAATTTTTTCCTGCTCTGAATGGTTGGTATAAAAACAATTGTACCACTGAGCAGATTTAAGACTCTGGTGGGTGAAGGTCTTTGAGGTAATAGGATTTGACAGCATTAAACTTTTGTGCTTTCTCAGAATGAATGATCAGTTCTTTTGGGCGGATAGGCAACTGCCTCTAACGGTAAGAACACAGTGAATTTATAAAGCATGAAAGTGTAAACAAGAACACATAAGAAGCTGAGGAAGCGAGTGGGAGTGATAAAGAGGCCATTTGTTTATCTCTTCTTTCTGTGTAGGAGCTGCAGCCGGTGGGCTTCCTCCTCTCTGTGTATGTGCATTCACAGGGTGTGTATATCACTTTCCAACCAGTGAGGATCCGAAGGCTGCAAACGTGAGGCCTGGGAACTGTGACTGTTCACATCATTTTACCTCTTTGCTCTGATTCTGGCTCCTGCCGAGCTTCCTATTTACCGGCTTGCCGTAACGACCGACCGAATGTGGCAAACGTCTGCAACCTGTGCAGCTTCAATTCTTGTCTCCTGAGTCCAAGGAAAAGGTCACTAGTGCAATATGGTGCACTTCATTCTGAGCCTAGGTTTTGCTTGGGAATCCTCAAACAGTGCTCCCAGCAGCCTTCATTTATTGGTCAGATGTGCATGAGGAAATGCCTACTTAGCGTACTCTTAGAACTAGATCTGGATAGGAGAGAGAAACTAAACCTGGAGAACAGCTGAGACAGCTGGGCCAACCCTTATCGAACAAATGGGCAAATCGAAGTGGAATATGGCATAGAAATTTTTCTAAGGTCTTGAGTTTGTTGGACTCAAGGGGTCATACATACAAGTATAGATGAATATGGAGATATTTTAGCATATGTTATATTATTTCCCACTTATGTCATACACACATACACATACATTTTGGTCTTTCTGCTTGGTAGCAGTAGAATTTAACAAATTTTCTGTCTCTTAACCCGGTGTTCTTATTCAGCTGCCTCTCTACTGCTTGTCTGAGTTTTGCTCAGATCTTTTGACTCTTTAAGAGATTCCCATCTTCATAGAATATCTTTGCTGGGGCGCCAGCTTGTAGCCAAGTCAATATTTGTCATACCTTCCACGCTGAAGCCGAGATGAGGGCCAGGTTGAGCCATGAAAGATAAATACGAAACTCTTTCTTCATATGTTGGGTCATGACTCACCGCGGTTTATCTTGGAGATGGCATCAGGCCGTGGGGCCGGGAAAGCACAGCTGGAGCCTGCAGCCTGCTTGATGTGTCAGCAGGGAAACCCACACCTGCTCCTTGACCTGAGACCTGGGGAGGCAGTTGTTCTGGAAGGATCCCAAGTGATGCACCAGTAACCTGATGCATCAGGGACCTCCAGGGTGTCATGGGTCAGGACTAGGCTCTAAAGTGGTATAGACCAGTTTTCAAAACCCAGCTTCATTACTTAGTCACTGAGTGACTCCAGGAGCTTATTTCTCTTTCTTAGCTGAGTATTCTGACCTGTGAAATGACCATACTTCATAGGGTTCGTATGAGTATGGACGGAGGTTATTCACACACGGTGCTTAGCAAAGGGCTGACAGACAGCTAGTAGCTACGCAGTACTGTTAAAGAAATTTGGAATAAGGAGGTATAAGTACCGAGCCCTTAACACAACTATTAAGTTGGCAAAAATTGTCAGAATCACCTTTCTGAGAACTCTGGAATATAACAAAAAACTTAGAGCTAACAGGGCAATGCATAATGAAAAAAATAGGCTGCTAATTTTTGGCATTTAAAAAATCCATAGATTATTGTCTGAATACTGATATAACAGAAAAGAGACTTAAGTGACCACACAAAACAAGGAGAGCAGTCTCTGCAAATATGGTTTAGAAAAGTCACTAAGCAAATGGAGAGCTGCGACCCTCAACATCAATAGAAACCCTGCTATGAGGGTGTGAGAATCAGATTTCTAGCGTTACCACGTTATAAACATCCATTTTTCAACAAAAATATAAGACACAAAATAACAGAAAAGTATGGTCCATTGAAAGAAAAAAATTGATAGAAACTGCCCCCAAGCCTAGTAATTAGGTTTACTAGGCAAAGAGGTTAAGTCAGTGGTCTTAAGTGTGTATATCCAAAGAACAAGGGGAAGTCTTGGCTAAAGTACTAAAGAATCCAGGAGAATGATGTCTGAACAGCAGAGCATATTAATAAAGAGAGAGAAGTTATAACCAGAAACCAAATAATTTTTTTAGCTGAAAAGCATAATAGCTAAAATTAAAAATTTGTTAGCAGGCTTAATAGCATGTTTGAATGACCAAAAGAATCAATGAACTTGAAGACAGGTCAACTGAAATTATTCAGTCTGAGGGGCAGTAAAAAAAAGAATGAAGAAAAATGAACAGAGTCTCAGAGACTCTGGAATACCATCAGTTGTACCAACATATGCATAAGTGGTGCTCCAGAGGGAGAGGAGAGAAAAGAGCTAAGAGAATAAAGAAATAGTGGCTGAAATCTTACTAAAGTGAATGAAATACCTCATTGTTTAGATTGAAGAAATTTAACAAACTCCAAGAAGAATAAGCTCAAAGAGACACATTATAATAATGGCTACCGCTTGTTGAGTAGTTATCACTCGTAGGGTTAATGATACTGTTATTATTGTATACTCACTCCGTGACACAGGGCACGTGTTATTTCACATCACTCAGCTAGTTAAGGTCAGGGCCAAGTCAGAACACTGCGGTTAAATGAGAAAGCAGTCTTCAGAGCAGGTCTGTATTCCTGCCCTGGCTCACTAGCTCTGTGATTGAGGCTAGTTATGTAACTTCTTCGAACTTTACTTTTCTTATCTTTAAACATGAGAACAATCAGGGAACTTTCAGGATAGTGCATTTTTGTGAGGATTTCACACAGCACATGTGAAAGCTCCTGACATGTAGACAGTGTTTAAAGACTGATAACATTTTGAGAATATCTTGAGGAGGTGATCCACTAGGGATAGGATCTTTGCTTTGCTCAAGAGCCCAGAACAATGCCTGGCATGTAATAGTTGATCATTAAATATTTATTACTGGATAAATCTGAAGCAGCAGAGGATAGCTATTATCTAAATCAGACAAAGGTTGTTTAAATGATTACACTGTGGTAAAAATCCCTTTTATACTTTTTCTAAGGGGAGGGTGAAAATGTTAACAAAAGGAGGAACTTTAGCTATTCAGGAGACTGAGGCAGGAGAATTGCAAGTTCAAGGACAACCTGGGCAATTTGGTAAGACCTTGCCTTAAAATAAAATAAAAGGTGTTGGGGAGGTAGCTTAGTGGTAGAATGCCCCTGGTTTCAATCCCTGCTACTGCAAAACCAAAACAGAACAAAGCAAAGAATCAGGAATTTTCGTGGTATAAAAACTAGGACACTTCTTATAATATTTAATATTAATGGTAATGAAATATAAGATAATACTGGTCAGATGGGCATTTGTGGGCTTTTTGTCATCCTATAAAATTGCTCAGCCTTTTGAGGGGACAGTTGTTGCTCCTCCCTCAGGGATGGTGTGGTGTGAACCTCTTGAATAGGATCTCTGAAGAAGTTGGGAGTGTGTCATTTTCCCCAGTTAGAAGATGGCTGAGACTGGATTTTTGTTCCAACCTAACATCCTAACACCTTCATCTCAACTGCATCATCTGCGTCATCTCTTTGAAGGTGCTGACTCCAAATACTGTCATATTCTTTTTTCTTTTTTAGGTTGGGTCTCTCTACACAGTTCAGGCTGGATATTAGCAGAGAATCACAGGTGGTCTGTCTCTGTGACAGTGACTCAGGTCAGCCAAGCACATGTGGATAAATTGGCTACCAGCTGAGGGGAGGCTTTCTGCAGTTACGGACCTCAGGGAGTCCTGGGGAATACCATGCTGGTGTTCTAAGGGGAGAGGAGGACTGGTGCCGGAACTTTAAAAAGGCACACAATTTTAGGGACCAGAAAAAAATATATCAGCACCCTGGAGGTTAGCCTAATTGTTAAAAGAAAACTTTATCACTTATTTCAAGTTTAATACTGGAAACACCATGCTTTTTTTTTTTTTTTAGTTTTACACTGTATTATAAATATAAGTATTTTGTCCATTTCTTAGTGAAAATTACCATGGGGAAGAAAGTGGCCAGCTTGCACTTGAGGAAAATGAAAATCAAGATAAATTTACCCTTCGATCTGGCCTTGAAAACATACACACATGCATAATTTCGTTAATTTTTTAAACATTTCATTTAATACATGAAATATGATTTGAGCCAGGTGTGGTGGTGCATGCCTATAATCCCAGCGCCTGGGAGTTTGAGGCAGGAGGATCATTACAAGCCTGAGGTCAGCCTGAGCTGTGTAGTGAGTTCAAGCCCAGCCTGAACTACATAGCAAAACCCTGTCTCGAAAAAACAAAACCAAGGGGCTGGGGATTTAGCTCAGCGACACAGAGCCTGCCTGGCAAGTGCGAGGGCGTGAGTTCAATTCCCGGTACCAGAAACAAACAAACAAACAAATAAACAAAAAAAGAAAAAACAAAACCAAAATTAAAAATATGTGATTTGATAACATTCTCTAAATTGTAAGTTAGTCACTCATTAAAGACAACTTTGAATTTAACGCAGTCATTCTTCAAGTCTCAAGTATCATTTATTTGGTGTGACTTAGGACAAAGCACATAATTTTTCCTGTCATTGCCCGCTCAGACATGGCACCATCCTATCCTCTTGCCCTTTGGCATCTACTCTTAGGGATAAGATGGGAGGCCGCCGTAGCTTCAGAGCCATTTCTCCCTCCCCCTGAGTCACAGTCCCAGGAATTCTGTGTCACCTGGGTGGCTTTTGGTCAGAAAGCTGAGATCAGATCATCTTGAACGTAGGGAAAGAGTCTTCCTCCAGAAAATGAGGAGGCACGGAGGAACCCTTTGGCTATTAAAAAAAGTTCGGGTTGACTGTCACCATGTTAAACTCAGAGGCAGAATTCCAGGCTACCATCAGGCTAGGTCTGTGTATTTACAGAAAGCATAATTTGTGTCCTGAAAGATCCAGTTAAACATTGGTGTGACCCGTGCCCACCAGCAAGTGCCCCAGTCCTTGGCCTGCAGTAGTGACAGTGAAGTTGCGCAGCTTGAGAATGTGAGGCCTTGGTCCACCTACACTGAAGCCCAGGCCTAGAGCCTCAGTATGGGAGGCTGCACCGGAAGCTGAGCAACTGCTCTCCTGCTTTCCTTTAGAAGAGGAGCTTGCTGGTAAGAAAAACGAGCAGGATGTGAATGGCACTCGCGATGGGGCTGCTGAACGCTCTCACAGCCAAGTTTTGGGTCGAGTTCTTGGTTTGGGCCGTGTTCTCAGTTTGGGCCGTGGTCTCGGTTTGGGCCGTGGTCTCGGTTTGGGCCATGGTCTTGGTTTGGGCTGTGCTCATGGTTGTGTTGATGGTCATAGTTGTGTTCAGAGCGTTGGTGGACGTCCTGGTGGCTGAGGTTGTAGTTATCACTGGGACAAACAAACAAACAAATAAACAAACAGTGTCAGAATCTCTTCAATGGTGGGTGGGCATTGGAACAAGAGGCTAATTGGATAGATTGCTGGAGCCAGTGTTCAAGAGTGAAATTCACTCCACACCTCTCCAGTGCCAGCTCAGGTGTTTGTGGAGGAGGGTACAGAATGTTAAGTCACACAAAGACACCCTGAAGGTCTGCGCCGTCTTGTGAGGGGAGGGGGGATCTACTGAATTTATACAACTGCTGGATTTATTTTTGGCCTGGGGGGTGTCTTCAGATCCTTAATATTAGATTCATTAGTGCAAGTCTGATTCAGAATAGCACAATTTTATGTTCTTGCTCATTTCAAGGGCTTGTAAGAACTCAAAATCATCCAGTCCCCAGGACTGCCGTTTCTGCTGTAAAGTTAGCGCAGGATGCCCTGTCCAATTCCTGACCTCTTTCTGTAGTTTGTGAGGCACCGGTCACTTTCACATGCAGGGACCTGACCCAGTGGTCATTCTCTGAGTTTACCTTGCAGAGAAGCAGAGAAAGTCAGGCGGATAGTCCTGGGGGCCTGTCTGATCCTGCGAAAGGGAATCTGGCAGTGACACCTTCAAGTGTCTGAGAGGACCTTAGAAGGGACCACAAGGACAAGGAGGAAGGGAAACGTCCAGCGATTTATCCAGGCTAGGCAGCCTTCTGCATGCCTGGAGGGTGCCCTCTCCCCCAGCTTTTATGCACATGTTCAGCTCAGAAATGTCCTTGAGGCGGAAAATAACATCCCAGTCCTCTTGGACTGAAAGTTTCCGAAGAAACACTGAAGACTTTCCCGTGGTTGTTTCACTAGGGGTGATCACTTCAGAACTGGTTGGTGGAAACAATTATCCCCTTTGAACACACTGTGCAGTGCGTGCCTGGCAGGAGAACAGGCAGCGCGCTAGGCGTATCGCTCCGCGTCTGGGGCTCTGGGGGCGTGTCCTGTCATCTGGACACTGAGAAAAGGCTGAGTTCTTGTTCTCGGTGGAATCTTATATTTAAAAACTTGATTAAAAATTATTTCTTTAGTTTTAAGAAAAGTGGGAGAAAGCACTGACACGGAATTGGAGCCCTCGATTTGCTGGGCTATCTTAGGTAAGAGCCTACCTTTCTGACCTTTGTTTTTAAAATTTGTTTCAGCACCTTACAGGGAGGTCAGAGAAGAGGAAAGGGACGGATAAGGGGAAAGAAGGGTGAAGAGCCTCAGAAGGCTGTGAAGTTCGGGGCTACAGCCTGTGAAAAGCCAGAGAAAATTCCTGGTGATAGTGATGGTGGCCAAGGGCCACTTTAAGAACTCATAAAATTATTGGCATTTCTCAGAGGTCAACCCATTTTTGGTGCAACTCCTCTCCCCTCACCCTCATCCCCTTTAACACATTTTGGCTAAAGTCGATTATAAGCCAGGTATGGTGGCCCATGCCTGTAATCCCAGCAGTCGGGAGGCTGAGGCAAGAGGATTGTGAGTTCAAGGCCAACCTGGGCTACAAAGTGAGTTCAAGACCAGCCTGAACTACATAGTGAGACCTTGTCTCAAAAAAAAAAAAAAAAAAAAAAAAAAAAGGAAAGAAAGAATAAAAGTCTATTATAGCTAATGAACGATTTCTATGAGTGAGGATTCTTTGTGGAACCAGAGGAGGATGTTGATTTTCGTATTGATGTCTGTGTCATATTGAATAGAACAGCTCATACGGAGCTAACGGTGACCATAAAAACTTCTGAGATGTTGCAGAACTCTTGGGGAGGGCTTTTGCTTTCCACAGGGCATTGTGATAAGAGCTTGGGCAGATCTTCTGTGGGTTCCAAGGTACTGCGAGACTCAACCGATATCTGAGTATTGCAGGATAAGAAAACACTTTTTTTCTAGAGCACGCACAAGGCTGATTGAGTTTACAGTCAGATCTGTAAATGGGCTACGCAAATACTCACCTTGCCTTCCCAGATTCTGAGAAAAAAACACAGCCGAGTTGTTGAAGTAGACAAGGAAGACTCTGTGGAGGGCAGATCAATGAGAGAGACGGTGAGGACCTCATCTGTGGAATTCACAAGTTCCGCTCACGTTTCTGCTTCTCTGGAACACCCCACCCTCTTAATCCTGTCTGCGCTTACTTCCTCTGGGCACAATTAGCAGATCATTAAATATGAGTCTGCTCTGTATTGTATTGACTAAGCTCCTCCACAATCTTTCCTCCAAACCACCTCTCCCACCCTCCTACTTCCTCCAGCTCACCGCCCTGAAATCCCCCTCGGCTGGGCCACACCTCCATTTAAGCCAGCCCCCCTGTCTATAGTCCTGGTCACGTGTGCTCAGAGGCTCACGGGCAGCTTTCCCTCTGAAGTTGTTTCTCCCTGTTGCTACTAACACAGACAGGTCTCTGTACGGCACTGAATTTCTGTTGCGCCCCACTGGAGGGCCAAGTTCTTGTGAACAATGCCTGATACATCAGAGGTGCTTAATGTTCCTTAAGTGACCCATACAGCTTGCTCTGTTGTTACCATATCAGAGGGTACACTCTATTATCAGACTTTGTTTATACATTGAACAAATGATGAAGAAAGATCCCTACATGCCAATCATTACGCCTGGTGCTGAAAGGACAATGGGGAACAAGACAAGCTTAGTTCTTACCCTCGTGACATTTATACTGTCCTCAGAGAGACTGGTTTTGAGTCAGTGATCAACTAATCTGTTTAGCTATTGATCACAGTTGTGATAGGTGCTCTGATGAAGGAGAGGAAGTTATGAGACTGTTTAATAGAGTCCCTCCTTGATCTGCAGTTCAGGGAATGCTGAGGAAGTGATGCTTCGCCTCAGTAATTATTTCTGTATGGGCGTCACCAACTTCATTATGGGCCGGGCCCTCTCCACATCCCCTTTGTGCCTTACCCAGCACGGTACCGGGCACAGCGGGGTCCTTGCCCCTGTGCCCCCTCCCCTGGATCAAGACCATGAGTGTCATGTCGTGAACAAGCAGAGAAGCGAGGTGTGCGACTTAGGAGGGGTGTGCAAGCCACGGACAGTGGGACTGCACTGTTTCTCTTGCACATTGCCAGTGTTGGTATTTTATCTGTCCTGCACGGAGAGTGCAGGCTTTAATGAGGTGAGATGAAAGGAAAGTCCTCTCCCTAATTAGCCACGGCTGGGTTGTAAGCAACCGCTGTCATGGTCAGGCTGATTAGGAGCAGCTCCCTTTGGATTCTGCTCTTGTTCTTCATTCTGTGGGCATAATAGTACCTCCTCCAAAGGCAATTAAGTCTGAGTAGGCCCAGAGCATGGCAGAAGAGAGCCAGATGGCTTGACAGTATCACCATCAGCATAACCCTCTGAGATTAGGCTGTTGACGGTGGACACAACCTGATGATCAGATCTGCTCTTTCAGGACAGAATGTAGTTTTAGTCTTCCTGGGTGAAGGTAAAGCTGCAAAGCCCAAAATAAAAATTTAACAGTCAAAGCAAAATCATGTAAGTTCTTACTTCAGCCTGTGCGCAGTGTCCTTGGAGTTCAGAACACAATTTGTCTTGAGGAACGTGTCGTTAGAGGAAGTCAGGTGATACAGGGCGCTGCCGTTACAGTCCTCATCTCCTTGACAGAGGCCCACGACATTGTCGTGCTTGTCTACGACTTCTAGGACCACCATACTGACATTGCCATTCGTAGGAACCCAAACTAGGAGGAAGGGGTGAGAGATCCATCAGCCATCTGTGCTGTGTGAACCGAGGTATAAGCGCATAAAATACAAATTAATCGTGAGAAAAGGTTACAAGGAATGCATCCCTATAGTGTGGTCCCATCTTTGTAAAAGTAGCTGAAGAGTGTCTAGAAGGAAATACAAGTCATTAACTGTAGCGATTTCTTGGTAGTGAGAGTACAGGTGGTTTTTATTTTCTTCCCATTTTCTTGTATTTTCCAAATTTTCTGCTGTGAAAGATGCTCAAAAGACCTGTTCTCAGCCCTGGTTTGGGCCTCTTCTCAGGGCAGGGGTGGGGATGTTTGGTGCACATGAAAGGGTCAGGTGGGCTCCTGGGACATGCTCTGTGAATGGAAGGGACCTCTAATGCCAAGTAAAAGCAAAGCCCTGATCCTGGCCCCAGAAATGCTGATTCTCTTAGTCTCCATTGTTGAAGGTGTGGGATGGTGGGAGTGGGGTGGGAGGGGGGTGGTTCTGAGCTACAGGGGCCAAACCGAAGTACCTGTCACATAACCCTTTAGGATTCTTTTCCTCTCAGACAAGTCTCCCCCTTGACCCAGCCAGGCAAGCATGTTCAGGGAACCTCGTGATTCTTGTTAATTTCAGCACTCTGATGGGTCAGAGGGGAGGAATTTCATGACAATACTGTATTTTGGTCCCTCTATTTCGTCCCGTAGGAGGTCCCTTGTGAGTGCATTCCACAGGGTTACACTGTTTGCTCTCCAGGTGGCCTCTCAGCCGCCTTAAATTCCTTCAAAGATTTCTCCTTCACAAAGCAAAGAAAGGGGATCTTGTAGCACAACAGGTTCATTGGACAGTCCTGGATCTGTATTCTGCCTCTAAAACTTAGGAGCAGGTCATGCCCTCTCTAATTCTCATTTCTTTCAGTTCATCATTCGTGCCACATGCTTCCCTCCCCTCTCCTCCTCTCCCTTCCGCTTCCCTCCCCTCCCTTCTTCCCCTACTTTTTTTTCTTTTCTTTTTTCTTTCTTTCTTTCTTTCTTTCTTTCTTTCTTTCTTTCTTTCTTTCTTTCTTTCTTTCTTTCTTTCTTTCTTTCTTTCTTTCTTTCTTTTTATAGTGGTACTGGGAATCGGACCCAGGGCCTATGCACTGAACTATGTTTTCAACTCTTCATTTTTCATTTTGAGACAGAGTCTTGCTGAGTTGCTAAGGGGCCCACACTAGGCTCAAACTTTCCATCAGTCCTTCTTCTTCAGCCTCAGAGAGTGTTGGGGTTATGGGCATGTGCTGTTGCTGTAGGAAAAATGTAACTCTTGACCTGCTAAATGTCAAACACGCCGAGTTCATGGTCTCACAGCGTGGAGGAATGAAGTCGCAAACCAAAGGAAGAAATTAGGAGAGTTTCCTTGAAAATAAAGGGAAGGAAAATAGTCTCTGGATTTCCAGGCAGGGTCCAAATGGGTGGCCACCACGCCCGTTGTGAGGGGTATTGTATACAGCAAAATCACAACATGGGTACCACGTGGGTCAGACTACAGTCAACCTATAGGAATACAAGTATAGCTGCTTAGCTAATATTGATCCAGTAGGGAAGCAAGTCACATAGCAGGAGTACTTGGAAAGAGCAAAGGCATTTTTGGGAAGGGGCAGGAGTATGGGTCTGGATGTTCTGGTCACCCACCTACGTGCCTGATGCTAATTACAGTGTAATCTCAAATCACTGTTTAGCTTGCAGGCCTGGCTATTGCATCTCTGTCCTGAGGCCTGGCTGTCTTCAGATTTCTCCCGAGGCACAGTTCTGATGTCTCAGTTTCTTGCGCTGACTTCTTCTAGGGCCTGATCCTTCTCTGAATATATAGTTATTGAATTATTTTTAGCCCACCGTACTTCTCTGGCCTGTTGTTTGCTTTGCCAGTCAAGGTCAGCTGACCCAAATCTCACAGTGTCGCACTTGGTCAGGGAGCAGCTGACGTTTGTCCTACATCTGTGCAACGCGGTGTGGTGGCGGTGATGCATGACCGTGTCACACCAACAGTCATCAAGCTGTCAGCTCTTTAAGGAAGTGTTTCTGCCAGTTCCTTCTTCTGCTTTCTTCCTTTCACTCTGCAGTAATTCCTCCTTTCTCCTCTCCCCCTCACCTGTATTCTCTGGATTTCTGGAGGTTCTTTTCCCCCAGGGTGCCTGTGCCCTGCTATGGCGCCAGGCAGACTTCCTCACACAACCCGTCCTTCAGGACTCGCTCCCGTCCGAAGACTTCCAAGTGTCCCTCCTTCTAGAACATCTAAACATTTCATCTTTTATGCATTATTTCTGCCTCTGTCTTATCAATAATAGTGCCTGGTACCTGGAGCTTAGGACTCTAAGAACCTAGCTTCACACTGCTTGCATTCTGTTTTATGGGCAGCTGCTTGACCCCATTCTGCAGTGCCCTGAGCCCACACCCGGTCCATACCTGCCCCAGGCCCTTGTTTGTGACTTTCTGCCTTTCTGAAATTCTTCCTTCTCATCATACACCCCACCCCCAGTTTCACCCCAAGATCCTGCTCATGTCTCTCCTTGGACCAATTTAGGCCTCTTTTCCCCTCACACTTAGTCGAGCACTTCATTATATCCTGTGGTTTCACCTGTGATAGTACCTGACCCAGGAAGGGCACAAAATAAGTATTTATTGGTCCATTTAAAAAAGTTCTCCTGCAATCCCAGCACTCGGGAGGCTGAGACAGGAGGATCGTTACGAGTTCGAGACCAGCCTGGGCTACAAGTTGAGCTCACGGCCAGCCTGAACTGCACAGCGAGACCCTGTCTCAAAAAAGACAAAAACAAAAGCAAAAACAAACCAACCAACAAACAAAAGTTGTACATTCAATGTGGTAGGATGCCTTAAAGCTTAGTTCAGAAAGAAAGGCAGGCGGATGACATTCCCCCTGCTCACAAATATAAAAAATGGAAGCGGTTGACCCAGCATAGTCTTAATGTAAATGTCACTGCCTTAAATAGTTCTTTCCCTGATATCTAAACAAGCTCAGGGAACCTGTTCTAAGGTACTGCCTGAGCCGCTGTTATCAGTTGGGATCTGCCAAGCCATTTATATGTGACTCGTCAATGTTGACATAACGCTAAGATGTAAAAGGATTTCAAAACCAGAATAAGGAAAGGTGCTGGCCCGGGGGAGCATTTACTTGGAATCCTCAGAAGTTTCGAGCCCGGCCAATGACCCTGCTGGATTATATCATGGAGCCTGCTGTGGATTACAGGTGAGGAATTGAATCTGGCTCTTCTCATCCCTGAAGACGGGGGATTTAGACCCTCACCTTCCAGCGCTCCCAATGTGAGAGCACCACAGAGCTGTTGTGCATTTCTGTTCTGAGCGGGGCCGTGACGGTGCATAGCGTGTGTAGGCATTCAAGGAACCTGAATTCTTTTCCTCTTCCCTTTTCCTGGCTCCACCTGGCACCTGTGTAACTGCTGTGACCACTCTTCACCTCCGTCTTCCTGCTCCGTCTCCTTCCTTTTAGAAGGCTGCTGTATCTCTATGATATCTTCATATAAGAGACCTCTCTTTCTCCCATTTTAGTAGCAAAATTCTTCATCTCATGACCTGTTATCTTCTATCAGAGACCTGTAATGCCTCATGTAGTAATGCTTGTGATTCCCCACGTCATCCATCTATCTATCTATCTATCTATCTATCTAATCTATCCATCAATCATTTATCTACATCTGATATCCATCTTGAACTATAAGATTATCCTTCCTACTCTGGTAGGTCAAGAGCCACTGCCTGAGGAAGTGGGACATTATTAGCCCTGTCACAACAGAAGCACTTAGTGACAGTCCCAAGAAAAGATGGAAAGGAAAGACAAGCCAGGATGTGTGGAGGCATGCCAGGCCGTTCACTTGCCAAGTCTGGGAGTCTGTAGACCCTGTCACCCTGGTGGTCTCTGCAAAATTTGCTCAGTCTTTTAAGAAGACAGGATCTGAAGCTGGACAACCCTTGGCTGTTATCTTCAGATATTAGTGCTGTGACAGTCTAAAGACCTTGAGTAGATTTTTAACGTCTCTATGCCTCAGCTCTTTTCTGTGAAAAGGGAAGATGATAGCCTTTGCTGCTTGAACAATGCCCAGGATATAACAGGAAATGTTGGCTCTTATTATCTCTAATAAGAGCTGTGCTGTGAGGGAAAGGTCACTGAAACTGGAATGCTGGTTTCCATCTCAGTTCCACCATGCCGTGGCTTTGTGACCTGCATTCGTTTCTTAGCATCTATGCCTCTGCTTGGGGATCTACAAAATGGGAACGATAACGAGATCTACCTGGAAGGTCAGTATGAAGACTAAATGCGTTCATACACACAAATCAGATGTTGCTGTGATGAAACTAATTAGAAAGGATGTCCCTTGGCTTGTAGGTTTGGCTGATCCCCAGAGGGATGTTGTAAAATGCGTTCTAGGCATTCCTACCAAAAGTTTTGGATTAAGAATGAAAAAAGCTGGTTCTGCCACTGACTAGCAACGAGACCCTAAGTAAGTCATTTAACTTTTCTTGGCTTCAGGCTCCTTACACCAAAGGTGGGATAATAATATTTTCCCTGCTGTCTGAGATTTTTCACTCACACAGAAAAAATGCAAATAGTACCTCCTGGAGTTGTGCAGCAGAGTCATTTACGCGGCACAGTTTTGTCAGTGGATGTAAAAGGCTATAGACTGTGGTGCAATTATTATCTCACTTTACTGAAGTCAGAGAATGTGCCCCCGTTTGCTCTGCTAGGGTTCATTTAATCTGGGTATTGCAACCTTATGCCTTCTGTGGCTCAGGATTGGACAGAGAATATGCAAAAATAGTCCCCTCAACCCAGTCTCACACACATTCTCCTTTTTCTTTCTTCCCTCACCTCCCACCTGGTTCAAAAACACATATTCTGTGCACCTGAGAGCCAGAAGGAGGGGTATGTTCTGAAATTCTGGCTCACACCCCCCAGAGATCAAAAGACAGTGGAAAGAATGGTTTATACTCACTTGTGTAGATCGTGTTGCCCTGAAAAACTTCTGTCTTGATCTGAATTCCTGGGTTTTGGGTGGTGAAGACCTTATCAAAGACCGTGCAGTTAGTGCTGTAACTTGTAAAGTTGGCAGAAGAAAAGTGTAGTCCGAGGCACAGGAATAGCCCAAGTGGTAGAAACATGGAACGGAGGCCTGCCATGGTCTTGAGCTGCTTGGAGAGCGAGGAGTCTAACACTGGTAAGACTGGCCACGGCCGACTCTCCTTCAGGGACTCTCCTTCTCCTTAAATGCTCTGAAGCAGGAGCTTCTGCATGAGGTCACACATGCAAATCTTCTTCCCGCCCCTCCTGGAAACGCAGTGCCTTCTGGAACTGGCCCAAGGCATCCACCAGGAGTGAATCATCAGTCACTAGTTACCTGTCACCCGTGATGCTCTACCAGTTCCAGTTTGGGGAATGTAGGGATGATGGTTTTCTTTTGCATATCATTCATCTCAGCCTTTGCTCTTTGAGGAAAGCTGTTGAGACAAGGTAAATGCCAGCCAAAGTGAAATTAGGGTTGAGTAATTATCACATACCTGCCCTGTTTGGAAGCTCCGTTCTTTTCTCTGTAGGAACTCAGGCACAGAAACCCTCTTTTCCTGGAATATCACATATGCTCTTCCTATACCCCTTGATCAGATATTTTCCCAGCCCCCATTGCTTCATGGCTAGCATAGACCTAGAAAGACTGTATCTGGATTTATAATGATTGCTTTGATAAGAAACAGCTCAGGTCCACATTATGCAGAGCACCGTGGCACAAGGGAACTTGTAGACATAGTTTTCTTCTTTCGTATCTTCCCTTTGACTTTTGTAATTTACTTACTAAAGAAGAAAAGCAGAAATAAGTATGCTGCTTTGTGAGCAGAAAGAAACAAACAAAAAAATGTAGGATTGACTCAAAGTCATACCTTGAGTGCTTCTCCAAGAGTGTGGGGTGAAAACTACACTCGTATAAAAGCAACAAGAATCCTGGCTAAGGGGCTGGGGATTTAGCTCAGTGGCAAAGCGCCTGCCTGGCAAGTGCAAGGTAGTGAGTTCGGTTCCCGGTACCGGAGAGAAACCAAAAAAACAAAACAAAACAAAACAAAAGAATCCTGGCCAACATGGTCAGAACAAACCTTTTCAGAACTCTGGAAATTAATCAAAGGCTTACAACCATCCGGAAATATTTACCTCAGAAAAATTGTTGAATGGCATTGAAACTATTTGGCAGTTCACCTTGCCCCATGGCCCCCCCAGTCTCCATGGTTGCCTTGGCAACCAACAATTTGCAGCTATAGTAGCTGTGAAGACCAGCAAACTATCGGCCAAAGTGAAATTAGGGTTGAGTAATTATCACATACCGTAATTATCACAGTGTAAGGAGACAACATTGGTTTGGCAGTTTCCAAAAAGTCTCACCCTCAGACAGCTGTCACAGTGTGACTTGTCTGGAACTTGCCTTTAAAGCTTCATTCTTAGAGTGTGGCTTTATTTGACCTGACTCAGAATTTTCCCTGTGCAAATAACCTTATTGCTGGGGTATTTGTCAACCCCACCCCACCCCAAGCCAAACATAATAAGGGAGAATTTTTAAACATTGCAGATCTCTAATGCAGCAGTTCCAGCTGGGATTAAAAAGGGCTGAGTTTAAAACAGAAAAAAAAGCCAGGCGTGGTGGACCATGCCTGTAATTCCAGCACTTAGTAGGCTGAGGCAGGAGGAGTACTGTGAGTTTGAGGTCAGTCTAGGCTATGTAATGAGTTCAGTGCCAGTCTGAACTACATAGTGAGACCTTATCTCAGAAAAAACAAAAGAAAAAACTGGGGTAAGAAATGTTTGTAGAAAACAGAAAACGTCATACAAATTTCTGGGAATCTCGAAGGCCATATACATGAGCAGAGGTACACGCATGCTCAGGAAAGACCCAAGAAAGGCCTAATTTCTCACCTTTGGCTGATTTTGAGGTGCTACACAAGCAGGAAGGGAAGATTAAATCAGACTTATAAACTGCCTACCTGATGAAGCCACAGCCTAGAATGTACACAGAGCGGCGCTTAGCAAAGACTGGGATTTACTGGCTTAAGACAATTAAGGAAATTTCTGTTTATTCTTTAGCTGATCACTAAATTAGCTGAACAGAGACCACACATGATAAAGAATACAGACTTTATAGAATTAATTTGGGAAAGTTAGACAACAGGCAAGGAGCAGTAGCAGCAATGACAACAACAAAGCAACAACAAGAAGCCCAGGGAGAGGAGGAGAACCTGGTGTCTGGAGTTGCCATATTATGTTTTTTAAATGTTTTTTTCTTTTTTTTACTTTAAAGGAAGAAAAATGAACAAAATCACAAGAATAAAGTCAAAAACAAAACAACACAAAACAATAAGAAATGATACAGATTTTAAAACAAGATGATAGGAAATTAACAGTGGTTGTTATATTACATATTGTTATCTTCAATGATGTTCCTCAGATTACCAGATGTAAGAATGGAAGATTGTTCAAATCATTAGAGAATAAAAAAAAAATTAGAGATGATACAGAGCTTCAATAAACAAGATGATAGGAGTTCAATATAAATGTTTAATTTTCAAAAAAAAAAAATAAAATAAAATGGGCTTGGGGGTCAGAGTAAGTTAGAAGTGGAGTATGTGCCTAGCATGCATGAGGCCCTGGGTTCAATCTTCAGCACTACTGAAAACCAAAGAAACAAATACCAAAAAACAAACAAAAGCCAAACCCCACATATATAACATACCTGTATACATATGCCACACAGTATACCATAACCTATATATGTAACATATAAAATACTAAAAAAAAAATTTGACATGCAAAAATATATGTTACAGTCATTTGAGCAATACAAATTGAAACAATGCTGAGATTTCATCTCATTCCAGGAGGAATAGCTATCATCAAGAAATCAACCAATAACAAATGCTAGCAAGTCTGTGGGGGAAAAAAGAACCTTTTCCCTACTGTTGGTGGAAGTGTAACTGGTATAACCCCTATGGAAATCAGTATGGAGATTCCTTAAAAAAACTAAAGCTGGAGGTTTCATTTCACTCAACTAGTCCCCTTCTAGAGATCTTCCTGAAAGAGTTAAAAGCATCATACTAGTGATATATGCATATCTATATAACAGCACAATTTTAATACATGAACCTTGGAAATAGCCCATATACCCATCAACAGATGAATAGATAAAGAAAATGTGGTATTTATATACAGTGGAGTACTACTCTTCTATAAAGAAGCATAAACTTGAGTCATTTGTCGGTAAGTGGAAATACCTTGAGACCATAATTTTAAATGAAATAAAGAAGACACATAAGTTTAAATATCACATTGATTCTCTGGTGTGAGAAGCTTTAAGGATAAACAAGGAGCAAAATGGAGGATGGATAATGGGAAGTAGGAAGAACATGTTCAAATGGGAAAGGGAACAAGGGAGAGGGAAGGGAAGGGAATGAAAGGAAAAAGGATTACAAAAACAAAGAATGAGCCGGTCGTGGTGGTGCATGCTTGTAATCCCAGCACTTGGGAGGCTGAGGCAGGAGGAGTGTAGTGAGTTCGAGACCAACCTGGGCTACAAAGTGAGCTTAAGGCCAGCCTGAGCTGCATAGTGAGACAAAGCCAAAAAAAAAAAAAAAAAAAAAAAAAAAAAAAAAAAAAAGAAAAAAAAGCCAAAAAAAAGAAAAAAAAAGAAAAAAAAACAACAAAGAATGAAAGGGAAAACAGAAACAAAACTTCTGTAAATGGGGAGGGGAAGAAGGGTTGAAAGGAGGGAGGGAAATGGGGGGAAAAAGAAGTATGATATATTATGTGCAGGTACAAATTCCCTATGATGAGTGTGAGCACTATGTATGGCAAACATGTACTAAGAAAAAATTTTTAAATGAATATATATGGATTAGTCATTTAAAAATTTTTTATTAGTACATATATATACTCCATATATATATATGGCATACAAACCCAACAAGAATATGTGGCCATATAGAATGAAAAATAATCAACTCTCAGTCAGCAGAAACTGTTCCTGAGCTAACCTAGTTGCTGGACTTACTAGACAAGGACATTAATTCAGTTTTTTAAATATATTAAAGAACAAGAAGAAACCATGTCAAAAGGATTAAAGGGCATGTATGAAAATGATAGCATCTAATGAAGAATAGTAATAAAGGGACAGAAATGACAAGCAATAACAAAGTAGAAATTATGCAGTTCAAGGCAGGTCTGGTGGTACACATCTGTAATCCCAGCACTCTGGGAAACTGAGGCAGGAGGGTGGCAAGTTTGAGCCCAGTCTGGGCAAATTAGCAATTTAATGAGATCTTGTTGGAAAAAAAAATGAAAAGAGGGCTGAGGACACACAGACACACAGACACACAGACACACACACACACACAGAAGAGAAATCCTGCAGTTAAAAGTCAAGTAACTATAATTAAAAAGAAAAATCAGTAAAAGTATTCAATAGCAGATTGGTAGGAGAAACTGTCATTGAACTTTAAATTGGTTCACTTAAATAAATTAAATAAGAGAAGTACAAGACTTGTGTACCAGAACTACAGCAAGGGACTAAAAATAACATGATCTTGGAAAAATGCAACTAAGTTGGAGTACTCACATGTCTCAATTTTAAAACATACTACAAAGCTATATTAACCAAGACAGCATGGTACTGGCATAAGTATAGATCTATATATCAATAGAATAGAACTGAGAGTGCAGAAGTAAACCCATACACTCACGAACAACTGATTTTTGAGACGGGGCCAAGACAACTCAATGGGGGTTGTCCCCCTACCTCATACCATACACAAAAATTAACTCCAAACTGGGTACGGTGGTCTAAGCTGTCATCCTAGCACACTGCGAGGCTGAGGCAGATGGACTGCAGCTTGAGATCCACTTATGCGATAGGGAGAGGGAGACTTTGTGACTCAGACTCTGTCTCAGAATAAGAACTGAAAAAGGGCTGGGAATGTCGGTTAGTGGAAAGATCCCGGGTGCCATCCTCAGGACTGAAAACAAACAAACAAAAATAAAAACACTCCAGATGGATCAAGGGCCTAAATATAAAACTATAAAACCCTTTAAAAAATAGGTATAAATCATTATGACCTTTATTTAGGCAATGGCTTCTTAGACATGATGCCTAAAACAAAGACAAATTTTTAAAAAATATGAATTAATCTTCATAAAAACTAAAAGCTCCTGTTCTGCAAAGGGTACTATGAA